TCTTTGTGCTCCATTGATAGCCTCTGATCAATAAGGTCCTGCCCTCTCGCTTGAATCCTCTCAGAACGTGTCCACTGGTCCCTTGGAATGACTTTTTCCCGGAGTAAAGGGCTAGGCTACCAAAATGCCCTAAGGAGATACCTGCTGGCGAAAGCCTCTCTCTGAGACAGAGTTGTGCCACTCCCTCCAACGTATTCGGTCATCTCGCAGATCTGCAATCTTACCACTTATCAGCCAGTCCCTGTAGAATTTCGGCCTCTCTTTGTTACGTTGTTCTTCGTCATCGGACCAAACTTGTTTTATCTTTCGCCATCTGCAGAGGATCTCAGCTTGTATCAGTGTTCTGGTCTCTATCCACACCTTCTCCCGTGGGTTGGATCTCCCCTCAATTGTTCTGCTGCATCTCTCCTTCCAAATGACCCATAGGGTCACTTTCCTGATGAGTTCAGACCAGATCTTTTATGCCTTTTGCGCCTGGGCAGGGATGTTAGTCAAGAGGAGAAGTTGGATGGGCTGATCGGGGAAGGGAGAAGTGAAGAGGGAGTCCCAGAGTGACGACGCTCTGACCCAGTATTTCGTAGCCTCTTTACAGCGCATCAGGCAGTGAACTAAGTCTTCTACGACACCTTCCGTGCAGATTGTACATAATTCCGAACTGTTGGGGTTTGTGGCCTTTCGTCTGATATGTAGCCATTGGTTCACCGGAAGGGCTGCGTAGGCAATCAGCCACTGCAGGCTTCTAATCTTGATTGGCCTAATTCGTTTAAACTTGTCCCAGTGGATTCGTGTGATTTTGTCTGCTTCTTGCCCAACGAGTTTCCGCCATCTGCTTTTGATAGTGGGGTCTGGATTTTTTGTCTTTAAAGACAGTCTGTACCCCAGTTTAACTGTGTAGTCTTGAATTGGGATTTTGGTCTTTATGTTGCGGACCTTGCTTGGCAGCCACGCCCATTCAGCTGGATCGAACTCCAAGTTGCGGATTGTAGTATCAGGCCTGTATATTGATTTCGGCCACGCTCCTAGGACCCTTACTTTCTGCAGTAGGAAAAAATCTAAGACAGACGAGTCTACTTCGCAATACAGGATATTCAGCGCACCCGTGTTGGAGGAGGAGATCGGGAAAGAGAGGAAGGTTGCCTTAGTGCGTGAGCCCTGCTGCCAATGAGAGAATTGATAGGTTCGCGGGGGTGTTGTTTCTTGAATCATTAGTTCCCACTCACCCGGTCTCCAGGGCTCGTTTTTTGCCAGAATATCCTTCCATTCCTGTGGGATGCAGCTGAGTAAGAATTGGAGATTAGTCCCTCGTCTATGGCATCCTTTCAGACGGGGGTTGATTTCTTGTTCTGTTACCCAATCCTTTCTATCTTCCACCCATAAGTGGTCGATTTTCCAGATACCATTTTTGATCCAGGACAACCATCTCTGTTCTAGAAAGAGAGGATTGTCCGCCTCGTTTTTTATCCAATCATTCCCGAAGAGCGGTTGTCTTAGTACTTCATCCTTAGATTTGGGTCTGTTTGTCTTGTTGGGAAGTATTTTCCTCCACGATCGGAGCAATGCCGGCCAGTATGGTGTGGGCGGTCGAGGGTCATCGAGCCTGTTATTCCTCGTTCGATTCCTGCGACCTGTGTTTATTACCCATTCTTTATTCATTACCCAAAACAGGCCTCTCATATCGTTAGGAGATGGAGTTGGGGCCACAGATCTTATATTGTCCAATGCCAGCTTATTCCATGCACTGTCTAAAATTCATCAGTAGTTTGATGATCCATTTGATTTGCAAGGCTTTAGTTTCTGTTCCGGGGTCGATAATTTCTAAGCCTCCATTACTTGTCCTTCCTGTAACGTAGTGCCAGGCGATCTTGGATATTCCTTTTTCCTTGTTAGGGTCTCCAGTCCATAGGTAGATCCTAGCTCTTCGGTTCAGTTCCTTAAGCGAACAGTCAGGGATGGTCCAAATGGACGCGATATACCACATCATTGAAAAGATCGATGTAATTGAGGGACGTGAAGGTATTGCCCCATCTTCCGATTTTGTTGATTTGTTTGGATAGCAAGGATGGGCCCATCTGGGGAGCCAATCCTTCCTTCGTCATTAGTATGCCCAGATAGCGGGTGGGTGTGTCCGGCGTTTGCCATGTCATCGCCGCCTCGTTGCCTTGGAGCAAGGGGGGATCCTCCTCAGATAGCCACCAGCCGATTGTTTTACCCCAATTAATATTCATTTCTGAGGCTAGTTTGAAAGCTTCCATTGCTTCAGCTAGGGATCTGAAGGAGGAATCAGAAGCTCTGATAAGGACCGTTAGATCGTCAGCGAACATGATAGCTATTGGGAAGTCTATTTGGTGGGAAGATCCTACGTCTGTGCTGGCTAGCCTTTGAATTGATGGATCTTTGCGGAGGAAGGAAGCAATTGCCTCCATTATGAATAAAAATATTGAGGGGGCCAACGGGTCTCCTTGACGGATTGAGCGGGAGATCGGGTAGGATTGTCATAGTAGACCATTGACTTGGACACAGCCTTCTGCATCTCTATACAGTATCCAGACCCATTTTCTGAAATTAGGACCCACTCCCATTCTTTCCATACTGGCTTCCATGAAATCCCAGTTTACTTGATCGTAAGCCTTCTCAAAATCAAAGAAGAGAATGGCGGTGTTTATTTTCCTTTCCCTGATTTTTCTCACCGACTCGTTAAGAGTCATAACATTGTCTAGAACATAGCGACCTGGGATGGAGCCGGTTTGGTCAATATGGAAGCATTTGTTGGTAATTTTCATAATCCGGTTGGATAGAGTTTTGGCTAGGATTTTGTAAGGGAGGGTTAGCAGCGATATGGGTCTGTAATTTTTTGTGTCTTCTTTTTCGCCCTTTTTGTATAATAAAGTGACTACGCTGCTGCTGAGAAGATTGCCCAGTCCTCCCTTGGCTCAACAGTCATTGTAGAAAAGTAACAGGTCCCGTCCTAGTAAGGACCAAAATTTCTCCCAAAATTCTTTTGTTAATCCATCGATTCCCGGGGACTTATTGTTATTCATGCTCTTTAGTGCCAGGTGTAGTTCTTCCAGAGTGATAGGTTTGTCAAGAGCTTCAGCCTGGTCCGCTGATATTGTTTGCTCTAAGTAGCGAAGCATTTTGTTTCTTGCCTCAATAATGTTGGAGGGAATTGGAGACTCGGTCTTGGAGAGGTAGAGGTCTTTATAGAAATTGTTGGCTATCTCAAGTATGCCTTCGCTATCTGATCTCACCGTTTCCGGGGTAGTGTGGGATCTCAAACCTTCGATTGTGGAGGCTTTTCAAATAAGTTGTTATACAAGGGTGAGGCGGGGTTATTCATTAAGTTTGTTTCAGCCACTTTCAATGCGAATTCTAGTGTTTGCTTTCTCTGCATCCTTATAGACGCTAGTCTCCTCGAGACTATAGACACTGAGCTTGAAAGGTTGGAATAGCTCTTTTGAAACCATTCCCATCGATGGTCAGTGCTTAAGCGCGCGGACCTTTGGCCCTCCCAACAGTTGCAAACCTCACTTTGGAAGGACTGGCTCAGCAGGAGGGAGTTGTTGAGCTTATGGAAGCTGGCTCCCTTTTTGACCACATGGTCAAAACAAACAACAAGTTCAATTGGTTTGTGGTCCAGTCCTGGATATGAGGCCAAGGATAATACTTCGGCATTCTTGATTGCCCCCATCAAGATTTCTGAAACTAGAAAGTAGTCTATTCGTGAGAAGGTCGTGTGGTTGGCATGATTTTTCTTGATCAAGGTGAAGGTTCTCTTGTTTGGGTGAAGGGTTTTATGAGGGTCTACCAGGTTGTGATCCAGCATCAATTCATGGATTGGTATAGCCTCAGACGAATTTGGGGTGCCAGGCGACCTGGATATACGGTCTAGTGTCGGGTCTATCATGGCGTTCCAATCTCCTGCCAGGATACAAGGGGTCAGAGGCGGGATCAGGTCTTTGATGTTTCTTAAAAAGATTTTCCTTTCTGATGACGAGTTAGGTGCATAGATGTTGACTAGTAAGAAATCCTCCTCCTTCCATTTTAGGTGAAACATGCACCACCTCCCTTCAATTTGGTTGGCTCTCTTGTTAAGGACTGAGCCTGCCTTGTAAAGACGGGAGGATTTGGGGATCAAGATGGCTGTTCCTTTGGAGCTAGTTTTCGGGTCGGCCGACCAGATTTCATCCTTAAGGCCGCCTAACTTTATTGCCACGAATGAGCGAATTCTGTTGTGTTCTGTGGAAAGGGTGAGGTGGGTTTCTTGGAGTAAGACTATGTCCGCTGTTTTTCTAACGCCAAACGATAACCCAGTCACCACATCGTTCCATTTTTCTTCTCTCTCCATTATGTTCCCTAGACCGTTCACATTCCAGCTCCTGAGGACCATACCTTGACTTCTCCAATCGATGCGGTTCCCGATCTCATTCGCTATCCTTCTGTAGGTCTCCATGATAGAGGCTGGGCCAAGTTAGGAGGATGGCTTGTCAAGGATGCTTATGTGGGAGGGATCAGTTGATAGAGCAGGTATCTAGGTATGTGGGTCGCCCTTGTCCGTGTCGCTGTCCAAGGCATCCTGGACACTCTCTGGTCCACTGCCTGTAAGAGGGGAGAGCGTGAGGTCCCCCTCAGTGGCCACACCGTCCTGCTCTGTCTGAGCCTCATTGTCCTTTTCCAATCCCTGGTGCTGTTTCAACCGGTCTTGCTCATCATCACCATCCCAGGAGCCTGAATCTGAGGATTCACTCCTATAGAATCTTTTGCTGTCAATGACAAAAGCTTTGGATTCCAAGTCATCGTCTCCTTCCAATAGCCTTATGCTGACCATCAGGGCCATTGCTGAGGCCAACAGTTCTGCTGAGATGCCAGTGTCTGCTATGATGCTGTAGGGCACCTCAGTCACTGTCCTCCAAGGTTTCCAGATAATTTCCTGGTCTCAGCTGAGTTGATTCAGGCATCTTGGTTATTAAAGGAGAAAAGGCTCTTGGAGAATTTCTGCTCACCTCATTTGAGTTCTTGGGTGGGGTGGCTGATCCTTCTTGTGAGTCGAGAGCGTTCAACTCCTCCTCAATGGGCACAGTTTCAAATAGATCCAACGGGGATTCAGTTGTGACCTTCCCTTCCAAGACTTTGATCACGTTCTCACCTTCTACGAAGTGGGGAATCTTAAAGGCTACATCTGTTGCGATTTGCCATTCTTTTGCCTTGCTTACGTACCGGGCTGTGATGAGAGGCCGGATGTTCCTCAGTGTTCTACGGGCTGATCTGGCCGCTTCAATCACCCTTGGGGCCTCCCCACGTGCGATCTGAGCAATGGATGAGAATTCGGGGGCATATTCCTTGTTCCATTTCTTGAGCTTTTCCGTTTGAGACAGGACAACAGCGGCTTCTTTCTCCAGTAAGGCACGGTCCGATTTCACCTCAACCTCAACTCGTTCATTGTTAATCTCTTTCCGTCTTTGGTTCTTCCCCGTTTTCCTCGCCTTGGGACGCAAATCCTGAAGGTTGTCATTGATTGTGGGAATGGTTTTATCTTTGTCCATTGTTCGTGGGTCCCTTGCCCTTTTCTTTTCTGCGTACTTGAAAGCAGCAAACTCAGAGAATTCCTCAGCTCTCTCCTTCTTAAGCATCTCGTATTGGTTGGATGAGTTGCTGATCCCTGCAATTGCATTTTTCTTACCATTCACCTGGGGTCTCTCTGCATGTTTCAAGCAGGCGACCCGTACATCGAAGGCATGCTCCCGTTCCCTCTTCGCCTTTTCCATATAGTCTCTGAGCCAGGTTAGGGACTGTGTGGATTGGTCCTCTCCTTCTGTGGAGCCGGCCTCAGGTGTGTTGTTCTTCCCTCGTGTTTCGTCGTCAGCCTCGCCGCCTGTTGAGTCCAAATCCATCCCTTCTCCTGTCATCCCTTTCTCTAGCGTTTCGGTTTCCTTACCCTGCGATGACTCCCCGACCTTCCTTCGTTTTGGGCCCATTCCCTTTCCAGATGGTCCTGTATCCTCTTGTAGCTGACGCTTGTTGTCGGCTTGAGCTTTGTCCCTCCTCTTGTATGTTTGCAGCTCCACTTGTTTTGATTGTTTCGGTGCTTCCTTGAAAGCGGACGGTTCCTTATTGAATTCCTGTTCAATCTGTTCTCTGATGGTGTCAAGGTCCCACAGTAAATCTTCTCTTGCTTTCTCCTCCATGATAACCCGTGAGTCTGTGATGGGGTTGGAGTTTATCTTTGTCGGGTTACCCCTCGCTTTTCCAGTTGCCTTCTTTTGCCACCTACTGTCTGCTGGGGGGAAGACATCTGTTTTTTTGACAGAAGGGTTCTGATCGTCCGTCTGAACATCTAGAATCGCTGTCATAGATCCGCAGTGAGGTGACAGGAATTCTGGTGTCGGTAAGATCCATTTCAGGATTCTGTTTGCTGTGTACTGTCTCTCCAGCCTGTCGACCAACATGCCATGGAAGCCCGGTTGAATATTGTCGAATTGTACCCAAAAATTCTCTTTCATCAGGGTTTGTTTATAGGAGACCGCGAAAACTGGGTTCTGCCTTTGGACTGAACGCTTCTTCCATCTGGTGATCGTGCAAACTAAGCCGTGACAGTTTCTTGATTGCATTTCAGCCGCAATCTTTGCATGGTCCTCGTGTATGAAGAGAACCATGATGCTGTTGCGGCCCAGGCTCTGCAGCGAGAATAAGTCACCAATCTGACTCAGTTTGGGTTCCTTTCTGATCGTTTCAACTACCCATTTCCGTTTTTCCGCTGGCTGCACCTCTGCCCCATGGCGAGCGAAATTGAAAACTTTTTTTTTTTTTTTAAAAGGGCGACGGCCTCGAGATATTATCATTGTGCTGACCGGCCCCAAGCAATTCATTAGTACTTGGTTTTACTTGTCAAGTTCCATCATCTGGATTCGAACACAGGTCTGTATTTCAACAGTTCATGGGTGTACCCACTGAGCTAGGCTCTTGGGTTGCGAAATTGAAAACTACTCCGTGATTTTCATGTCATTCGTCCAACTCAGCGATCTTTTCTTCTGGGTACTTCCATATGCTCACTTCTTCTTCCCTGCCATCCACCATCTGCTTTCCCAACGACTCGATTCCCTGGGGATCGGACCAAACAAGGAAGGAATCTGTGAGCTCGAAGGGGTAAGGAGGGGATGGTTGAGTTGGAATGTAAGCCGGATGGGACGTCGGGTGAGTGGTTGGGAACGGGGAGAGAGTAGGTGGGAGCGAGGCGTAACGAACCGTCGGGTGTGGGCAGAAGGAGTCGGGGTGGAGGTAGGTTGCAGCCGAAGGGGGGGGTAGGTTGGGATCGGAGTGGGGTACGAGCGGGATTGATAGGGGTGGAGGGTAGACCGTCGACTTAGAGTGTAGGTGGGAAAGAGGGGAAGGAAAGATTGGGTTTAGGAGAAGATTAGATGGGGTGGAGAATATAGCTGATATTGGAGATGAGGGGGAGAGCGAATTAAAACGGGAAGCGGGGTAGATGTGTGACGGGGTTGGGGAAGAGAAAGAGTTTGTGGTGTGCGAACGCGATGGAGAGAGGAAGGAGTATGGGTTAAATAGGGGAGTAGGGGGTAGGGGAAGAGGAAGAATGAGGTTGTGTTCCAGGGATGTGTTGGAGGGGGAGTTGAGAGGATCGATTGATCGTTAGTAGACGATGAGGCAGAATCGAGAAAGATCTCACTTGTAAAATCTTTGAGGACGTCAGCAATCATCCGCGTACTAAGTCGAGCACCGGGCTGTTGACACGTCGGGGCGAGTTCGATGACTTGAACGGCTTGGGGATTCACTTGCGTTGGCTGTTCGCCCTCTCGCTCGGCGATGAAGATGTCATACCGCCTTCGACACAAGGCATGACCCCACGTTGGAGAACCTCACCGAGCGCGCGCCGTGCGCACGCGCGGCGGGTTCCTTAGCCTGGCTATGGAGGCGCGATGGCGCTGGGCTCGAGGACTTCGGAGATTCTGTGTCCGAGGTGTAGTGGCGCGTGCAGCAGCTGCGGGCGTCGGTGCGCGAAAATTAGCGCTGGTTGCGCTAACCGTACGGCGCAGGCGTGAGTTCACTAGCGCTTACAGGGTTTGTGTTTCAATTTTCTTAAAGTCACCAGAAAACCAACCAGCTGCGATACCAATGCAATCAGATTCACTTTCTTCTTCACTTCGCATACATGTAAACAGATGGCAAAGTACTTTGGCGCCAGGCGCCCACACAAAGCTCAGAGATATCACAGGCGAGAACGCGGTTCAAATACAAACTCGTTTCAAATAACTATGGTGCCTGTGCTCCTTTACTTCATTCCCCACGTCACTGTATCCTCGCAACTGGTTCACACGCACACTCACTGGATCTCCCTGGATATCCCACACGCACACACACTCTCGCTGTACACGAATACACACACCCACTGAACTCAACTTTAAGCTGCAGCGGCTATGGCCGCTCTACTACTACTGACTATGGACGGACTATCTTCCTTCAGCCCACTTCGACCTCGGGCATCTGCAGACCACCTCGCACAAGACGCACTGGCAGCGCTTCCGCATGGCTTGCAGCAGAATGAATGAATTGCTGGACGCTGCCTCTTGATTTATACTTCTGTTGGCCGCTCTTCTGCCCCTTTCCACTAGGCCCTTGGTGCACACAGTCCCACACGGTACTTGCTTGACTGGACTGAGTGTGACTGGGACCGGTACCGCTGACTGCACGGGGTTGCACTGCCGACTCGACGCAGTTGGACTTACGACTTGCCTATAGACCTCTAGCCTAGCAGTTTCGACCTCCACACAGCTGTAACCCCTACTTAACAGATCTACAGATCGAATTCCTACAGCTACAGGGACCTATGACAAAGAACAGTCACTACTAAAACACAGGTCACGGGCTCAAAACACACAGGGGTCTACTCGATACTGTACACGGGTGCAGGTCAGGTCTAGGGATCGAACCCTTGGATCTGCATCTGCTTCTGCAAAGGTGAAAACCGTTTCACTCCCGCCGGCCTAACTTCGAGGTCCTCCGAGAATACTTCAGTCTAAGGCAGGATCTTTACCCTTTGTATCTCTCTCATAGGCTCGGACTATATTGGGAGCTGTCTCTAGAAGTTCTGCTCTGGTGAACCAGTGGTCATCTTCAGGTTCTTGATAAGAGAATCTGACTTTGTACTGTTTCTGTGGACGACCTCTACCTCCTGTTCTGAAGACATCCTCACCTACTATGCCATCAATGTCGTACCTTCCATCCATATCCGGAGGAATCATAGACCTTCGTGATGGAAACTGTTGACTCGTAGTAAACGGTAACAATTTTGATGCATGGAAAACTGGGTAGGTGTGGAGGTGTGCTGGAATCCCTATCGTGTAGGATGGTCCATCCTCTCCGCCCTTGACTTCTAGGACTGGCCACGGTCCTCTATAAGCAGGCAGCAGTTTCTGCTAGATGTTCTCCTCAGGAACGAACTCTTTTGACTTGACCCAGACTAAGTCGCCTACTTGGAACGGTGAAGGGCGACGGTGTTTGTTGGCTTGTTCTATCATCCTGTGCTGGGCCTTCCTGAGGTTTTCAACTACTGCAGCAATTTCTTTCTCGTGCTGTATCGCAAATTCCCTGGTATCGGGCGGTAGCTTCTGAATCTGATCCCGGTTAAGTCCTTCAAACGGTCTGCGTGGTTTAAAAGACTTATGTAGCTCGTTGGGAGTGCGACAAGTGGCTAAGTGCAAACTATTGTTGTAAGCACTGGCTACCTTTGGGAGCATCTCATCCCAGTTAAGTTGGCCGGCCCTAATGTACAGCACCAAGCGCCCACTCAAAGCTCAGAGATATGGAAACCGAGAACACAGTTCAGATGCAAACTCGCTTCAACAGGCTATGGCGCATTAGCGCCTGTACATCCCAGCTCTCGTCACTGTGTCCAACAGCACTGATCGCACGCACTCAACTCTGGATCACCCTGAATACCTCACACGCGCTCACTGCATCACACACACATACACACATACTAACTCCTAACGCTAGCTATGGCGGCTATGGCCGCCGACTACTGCTAGCTATGGCGCACTAACTTCTTCAAGCCCACTTCGACCTCGGGCATCTGCAGACCACCTCGCACAAGACGCTTGGGCAGCGCTTCCGCATGGCTTACGCAGGAATGAATGAATGGCTGGACACTGCCTCTTGATTTATACTTCTGTAAGTCGCTGGTCTGCCCTTTTCCACCGGGCCCATGGTACACAGTCCCTCATGGTACTTGCTGTCTGTACAAAGTGAGACTGGGACTGGGTACCGCTGACTAAGCGAAGTTGGACTCACCACTTGCCCACTTACCTCTGGTCTGCTGTGTATAACGTGAGAAGAAACTTGAAAAGCCACTTCTGGACCTTCCGGAAGTTTGCGGACTTGGCCTTTCAGGACTGTAGCAGCTACGACCTTGAACTTTCAGGACTGCAGCAGCTACGACCTTGACCTTTCAGAACTACAACAACTATGACCCCTATGCAGTTATGACCCCTATGCAGTTATGACCCCTACTTCGACAGGTCTAAGGTTCAAGACTCGACAACTACTCAGACCTATGACAGACAACCTTCAACTACTAACACACAGATCACGGGTTCAAGGCACACAGGGTCGACTTGATACTGTACACAGGTAAAGTAAGGAAAGGTCTGGGGATTGAGCCCTGGGATCCGCATCTGTGACTGCAAAAAGGTGAAAACCGTTTCAAACATATGTATCAAAGACCGTATGCGAGAGTCGACTAAGAGGATGGCTCACGGGAGCCAACTACAGTTAGAGAAAATCAGATCAGGTCTGCGCCTGCACAGCCACAGAGAGTTCAGTGCAGATGCTGTCCAACAATGCAACCAAGTACAGAAAACTGTCTGCCGTAATTTAGCATCGAACCCACGACCACCCCAATGCCATTTCCATGCCTAACTAACTGAGCCAGGCTATACTACCGTCTTCACCTGAATAGAATGGCCGGTAAATATTCCGTATCTGGACTGGAAGTTGCACCAAAGACAGCTATCATGACCGGGTGTTCTACTCGGGTGAAGAAGATGGTAGGCCCCCACTGGTGACACCCACCCTGACCCTATTGTGGTGGGGGACCTGGGAGTGACATGACTCTCAATATGAAGGCATTGAAGGGTATTGCCGCAAGAGAAAATGGCTGCCGGGGTTCCCATCTAGGATACACTACAGTACAGTGTAAAAGAAAAAGAAGGATGGTGGCTTCATCCCTCAGACGTCCCTCTCCCGCCCTCTCCCGCCCGAGCCGCAAGCAACCTGGAAACCAAGGGGATCAACAAAAACAAGGTTGGGGGTAGATCTAACTCTGGTGGGACCACCAATGGACCACAGGGATAGCCTGGTGGAGCTTGCAATTCAGCAAATGGCAACCCGGTTTCCAACAGGTGATGCTCCCCACCAATAGATC